ACATAAGCAAATCTAATCAACTCATTGCTAAACATATGTCAAGTAATATTGATGACAAAGTTCAGCACAATCTCAACCTTGTTGCTACTCCAGTCACATCTTTTGCTTTGAAAATGTGTCCTAGGTTCTACCCACACTAATCTTCTCAACTGTATCTGAATCATACATTTGCATGACTTGTTCCCTTTGTTTGGATTACCCTTCTCCTTCAAGTTCGACTTGAAGGAGAAAATGCTTTTCTGAACTTAAAAAATATTAAAATCTTTTTCCTTAGTGAATGTGAGAGCAAAAAGTGAATTTAACAACAATTGATTAAAATTAATTGATTAAAAATCAATATTTCATTGAGGAAAGTCTATGAAAAATTTACATTCCACATTTGCACTCATGCATCCTAAGGGGAAAGAGAAAAGCTTGGCTGCTAGCCCAATTGTGCAGGTGATGGATTTTGGAGGAGCTAGAAGAGAGCACTGCCCATATGTCTGCTTATTCAAGACATTTATTACATTTGCAAGTATCTGATAAATTTACACCAGAGATTGTACAGAAAAACTACACACAGTAGAATTCTTACAGATCAGAATGGAGTTTGCTTGTCTGATATTTTCATTTAAGAAAACTAAACTTACTTTTTATTTTTAGAATAACTGATGCCCTTTTAAAGTCCCTAAAAACAGAAATTAATTTGATATATTCATGGGTAGCTTGGAATATCTAAGACCCAACCAAAATGTAATTCCTATTCTAATAATCTCTAAGGGACTTTATCAATTTTGGCATCAATACTGGATTTAGCAGTGTCACTGAGACAGATTTGGGATATTTCAGTATAATAGGAGCTGTTTCTGATTTTTTTCTGGAGACTTGAAAAAGTTTGAAAATGTAAGGCATCAAAATGAATCTTGAATTTATGAATGTGGAAGAAGCTAAAAAATAATGAAATAATTTCCTCTTTGAAATAAGATAACACATATATACAAAGCCTATCCAGTCTAGATTCTGATCTTATGCAAAGAAATCTTTTGAATTCTAGGCAGCAAAATAAAGTGAGAAAGAACAGTTCCTGGCCATAGGGTGATTCACTCTTCTATGAAAAGAGGTTGTGAAATCAGAAATATAATTTCCCAAAAATAATCCTGGCCTTTGTCTATGAGAAACTACTAGAGAGAAGGATTCTTCCTAGAGGCATTAGTTAATATGCTCTTTTCTTCTTTGTTTAAATTCAAATGTTATATATGACATAGTTATTTCAGAGAAAAGCAGAAGCTCTTGAATAAATTGAAGACAAAGTGATTTTAAAATGGTAATTCTCTAGGTATTCCTTCCTTAAAACCAATTTCAAAAATATTCCTGTTATTCCCAGGAAATAATGTGATACTTAAAATGATTGGATGCAAGATTTAAGTGGGAATGTTGTGTGGGAACTTGAGTGTAAATTTCACTGTGGATTCTTATTTAGAGAATCTATATTTTCCTCATCATGGAGATATCATTCCCAAGAGGAAACTCAAACAATTTTATTTTTTGGCCCCACTATAAATCATTTTGAATCAGCTTTGGAAAGTCC